CTCTAATCACACCAAACCCTCGTCCAGTGTAGGCGGTAAGAGACGTCGGGGACTGAGGCCTCCTCCCTTACCAGGCACCTAAAATCTTTCCTCCGATTGGGCTAGTTCGCTCTCGGGGAAGATCTACACCTCCTACATCCACCCTCTACCTCTCATTTTAAGCCCCTTGTGCCTGAGCATTTCTCTCCACGTGACTCTTAAGGTGAGAAACCTGTTGCCCATCTCTTTACTTCGCAATTAACGAGTGTTTTGACCAGCCTACCCTGCTGCCAGGGAAATTGGGAGTTTGGGTTATCCTAGGTATAAAGGAATACTGAGAGAAACATTCTGGACATTTCCCTGATGCTGAAAACTCCAAAACTGCTTTCCCACGTCTGCTAAGGTGTACCTCATTGCCTTTCCTATTCTGAGTCATAGAGCAGCCTCTGCTTGCTAAAGGGGTTTCCTTGCATCTCCAGCCTAGGGTTGTGCCCTGACCTGGACAGTGTTCAGACTATTTAGGGCTATTCCAGTGGGAGCTGCCATGGTTGAGGTTAGTTAGGATCCTGCTGGGTGTGATTCTTGAGGTAAGTGGTCTAAGGTAAAATGAGTGACTCTATGGGCTCTGAAGTTTTTCAGTCTTTTCCATTGTGAACCAGGTGGTCATAACTCTTTATGTAAGCAGGCTGCCACTGGCCCATGTGATGTTCTTGTGTAAATTATAAGAAAGCACCCTTCCTGAAGACACTAGATAGTCAGCCTCTGGGAAACTGTTACAAGAAGTAAATACGAAGTTTAGATGGGTCCAACACCCTGAGTTAGCAGCCCTGTCTGCAGGCAGATTTCTAACTTGAAGCCAAGCAGAGGGATCTGCAGATCCTTTGTGTAGGAGTCTTCTAAAGATCCTCACTTTTCTCAAAACTTCCTCTCAAAGTGATGCCTGGGACCACCGGTCAAATAGTTTCAGGTGGTGTTTTCCCTAGGTAGGGCTGTGTCCTGGTTAAGAGCATGGAGCCACACTGCCTGGGTTTGAATCCTAGTGGTTTTCACCACTGTGGCACTTTAGGCAAGTTGTTATACTTAATGCTCTTTCTTTATCTATAAGATGAAGTTTAGGAATAAATGGAAATGCACTTAAAACACTTAGCACAGAGGGTGGACACCATGGCTCACGCCTGTAATCCCAGCAGTTTGGGAGACCCAGGTGGGAGGATTGTGTGAGGCCAGGTGTTCAAGGCCAGCCTGGGTAACATACTGAAACCCTGTCTCTACAAAAAAAAAAAAAAAAAAAAAGAAGAAGAAAAAGTTAGCCGGGCATGGTGGGGCATGCCTGTAGTCCCAGCTACTCGGGAGGCTGAGGCAGGAGGATCGCTTGAGCCCAAGAGCTTGAGGTTGCTGTGAGCTAGGCTGATGCCACGGCACTCTAGCCCAGGCAACAGAGCAAGACTCTGTTAAAAAAAAAAAAAAAAAAGAAGAAGAAAAGTTAGCCGGGCATGGTGGGACATGCCTGTAGCCCCAGCTATTCGAGAGGCTGAGGCAGGAGCATCGCTTGAGCCCAGGAGTTCAAGGCTGCAGTGAGCTGAGATCATACCACTGCACTCTAGCCTTGGTGACAGAGCAAGACCCTGCCTAAAACAATAACAAAACAAAACAAAAACCACACACACACACACACACAAAAACCCAGTTAGCACAGGGCCTAGCACAGAGTAAAGCTCAAGAATGAGTGGGGTGTTGACCAGAATGGGCTGTGACTTGCTCAGGGTTAGGGGATGCAGATGGGGACAGATATGGCTAATTTTACCTGTTCTACCTGATCCGGAGAAGGACTCTACCCCTGACTTACTAGTACTAGCAACCAAATAATAGCTACTTGGCCCTCTGGAACTGATCTTCAAGCACTGGTCACTGTGGGACCAATAAGGGACTGTTGTTCAGTAGAAAATACTGGTTTTGGGATTAGCATTTTGCTTTTCCCCAAGGTCACACGGCCAGCAAGGTGGCCAAATAAGTGTCTTCTCTGAGTTTGTTTCACCTGTAAGATGGGTTGTGGTGAGCTTAGTAGGGGCCTGGTTGCCAGCAGCCCTCTGTGTGCTGGGAGCGGGGAGCTGCAGGTCGCTGCCCAGGGCAGGCGTGGCTGCAGTGACACTTTCTCCTGCAGGTGAACGTAGGCTTATCCGTCTTAGGCATCATTGTGATGGCAAGCACCAATTCCCTGATGTGGACCTTCTTTAGCCGGGGCCTCAGTTTCTCCATGTCTTCAGCCATTGCATCTGTCACAGTGACTTTTTCAAACATCATCAGCTCGGTGAGTAGCCAGAGGGTCCAAAACCTGGGTTCTGGGTGAGTTGTCCCTCGGGAACCCCTGCTATCGCAGACAGGGAAAAGGACCGGAACTGAAACAGAGGTTTGGCAGTGGCTCGACTCCTAGATGGCTGCTCCTCTAATCATGGAGGAATTCTCTAGTTAGATAAGAATGAAACCTGAGTGTAAAAAGCCTAGCTGGTTGATGTCCCTCCAGCATGGAGTCCTCATTCGGAAGTTTCTGTGCAGCGTGGCTGTCTTCTAGGGTTCTGTGCCCTCAAGCATGAGATGTGGAGGGTCGAGGTTCCTGGAGACCTTTCTTCTCTCTGTAATGTGAGATTAACATGGTGGAGCTGAGCCCAGTGAGTCTTGAGTTGAGGGAAGAAGGACTTGGTAGCCCAGCATGGGTCAGTGAACACCAGGTACCAGCTGTGTCTAACTGGTGGCCTCAGCTGGGTCTTTCTCTTGTACTTTGCTGGGATCCAGTGCTATGCGGGAGGTACAGGTGAGACAGAAGTGAGTGGAGTGACTCGATAAAGGTGACAACTGAGTTTTAAGCCCAAGGCCTCTGGCGCCAGACCTTTCCTTTTGGGGCCCTTAGGAAGGAGGTCAGTCCCAGGGGAATGAGGTTGTGTCCACCCCCTGAAGTCGGGTCCCTCACAGCTGTCTCTGACCCGCAGGCCTTGCTGGGCTTTGTGCTGTACGGAGAGTGCCAGGAGGTGTTGTGGTGGGGAGGAGTGTTCCTCATCCTCTGCGGACTCACCCTGATCCACAGGAAGCTCCCGCCCACCTGGAAGACCCTTCCACACAAGCAGCAGTAGCACCAGTTGGCTGGAAAGACCAGGTGGAAAGATAATGATGGCGGCCCAGCCTTGGGTTGGTGTGCGGGACTGCTTCCCAGGGGCACCCAGGTGTGCAGCCTTCTGACCATCAGCCGAGAGGAGATGCTAGACCAGCCAGGCCTTTGGGCCAGCCCTGCTCCCAAGGGAGGCAGGCCTCTGACGGAGCAGCTTTGAGGGTGGGCAGCTCTGGCTTCTGTAAGGGGAGTACAACCACAGCAGTGCTCTGCCCGAAGCATTCCCAATAATCTGTACAGTGCTTTTGATTCTCGTGCTCCCAGGCCTACCCCAGTGAGCTTGGCAGATGCCGGAGATCCTGGGCTTGGTCTGCTTTGAGTATGGTACTTGAAACCATACTGTAATTTTAGTCCTACTGCCTGACAAAGGCCAGTCACTTAACTCCAGATCAGTGACTGGCGGGGCTTTCTGACAACTCCATGCTAATGTACCGGGCCATCTGTGTCACGCTTATGTATTATGGCAAGAGAAGGAAAACTGGGTTAATAAATACTCTTTTATAAGTTAAAACGACCAAGTATGGAATCTTAATTCTTTCCTCTATTTTGGATTAAGAGGGAGCAGCTGGGGTGAGCGAAGTGCCTGGAGAGGAGGAGGCAGGCGTGGAGGCTCTGCTCGCCAGCTCCGCTCGCCTCAGTGTGCTTCTCAGCTGCTCTGTTCCCTGCTGGAGTCCAATTTCATGTTTCCTTCCTGAGGTCACACAGGCTAGGGCTCTTCAAATTAAGAAGGATCTGTCCATTCCCTTGATATTCTCAAGGAGAAAAGTTTGACCTCACTTTGGAGACCTTGCTTTATTTTACTTATTGGGAAAGAAAACTGGCCCAGGGGTCCTCCCCTCCCCCTGCTTTACCTTTAGGTTTTTCTGCCCTTTGCTTTTCTTTTCCAGATCCCCTTGGTTCATTTTATATCTTATACCACATGAATATAATTTCTAGTTCAAAATGGTCCGCATGCTGCCTGTACGCTCTCCCAGTGCAGAGCTGCAAGGCCAGCACTCACCTGTACCTGTTCTTCCCTGGGGACTCCTCTGGATGTCCAGGGCCCTCTCAGCTCTCCTGAGCCTGATCTGCAGGCCCAAGTCTTCCTCATATATTCCCTGCAGTTGGGAGGGACTTGGTGGCCAGGAGGCTGAGAGAGAGAAGGATCTTGTGTAGGCTCCTCCTCCCTGCCTACGTGATGCCTTCATTGCTCTCCTCCCTTACCCACCGTCTTCACGGTTGGTGGAATGAGATTGTTAAAACTATTCCACTTTTTAATTTTACTTATTTTTTAAAGTGTGCAGTTCAGTAGTATTTTAGTATATTCACAAGATTTTCAACCATTACCGCTATCTAATCCCAGAACTGTTTTTTCACTCACAAAGAAACTCATACCCATTAGCAGTTACTCTCCATTCCACCCTCCCCCACACCCCTGGCTGTCACTAATCTGTCTCTATAGATTTGCCTGTTCTGGACATTTCATATAAAAAGGTCACATAATATATGGCCTTTTGTGTCTTTTTTCACTTAGAATAATGTTTTCAAGGCTCATTGATGTTGTAGCATATATCAGTTCTTCATTCCTTTGTGTGGCTGAATAATATTCCACTGCGTGGATATACCACATTTTGTTTATCTGTTCATCAGCTGATGGACATTTGGATTGTTTCCACTTTCTGGCTATTGTGAATACTGTTGCTATACACATTTGTGTACATGTTTTTGTGTGAACATGTGTTCTCGATTCTATTAGTTATATGCCTAGGAATGAAATTGCTAGGTCATGTGATAACGCTGTTTAACTTTCTGAGAAACTACCAGGAGCAGTTGCACCATTTTACATTCTAGCCATCAAAGTGTGAGTGTTCCAATTCCTTTACATCTTTGCCAACATTGTTATTGTCCATTTTTTTTATTATAACCATCCTAGTGGTATCTCATTGTGGTTTTGATTTGCATTTCCATAATGACTAATGTTATCAAACATCTTTTCTGTGTTTATTGGTCATTTGTATATCTTCTTTGGAGATAAACATTTAGAGCCTTTGCCCATTTTTAAACTGGATTACTTATATTTTTGTTACTGAATTGTAAGAGTTCTGGAAAGAAGTCTCTTGTCAGGTATATGATTTGCAGCTATACTCTCCCATTCTGTGAGTTGTCTTTTTACTTTCTTGATGTTGTCTTTTGAAGCCCAGAGGTTTTTAATTTTGGTGAAATCCAACTTACCCATTTTCCTTTTTTTTTTCCTTGTGCATTTGATGTCATATCGAAAAATCCATTGCCTGATCAGAATGTGACAGGGGCCAGATAATGCAGGGCCTGTTGTAGACCATTGAAAGGACTTTGACTTTTACTCTGTGTAGAAAAGAGCTGATCTAATATCTTAAAGGGATCGCTCTCATCCTGAGCACACACTATAGAGGGCAAGAGCAGAGGCAGGAAAACCTTTTAGGAGGCCCCTACAGCCACCTGGATGGGAGGATCGGGGGCTTTGATAGCTGTGAAGGGAATAAGAAGTGATCAGACTAGATAATACATTTTGAAAGCAGAGCCAACAGATTTTGCTGATGGCTTGGATGTGGGTATGAGAGAAAGGTCAATAATGACTCCGTGGTTTTGGCCTGAGCAGTGTGAAGAATGAAGATTTCAATAATGAGACAAAGCAGACTGGGAAGAGAGCCTGATTAGTCAGAAATATCAAGAGCTTGGTTTTGAACCGGTTAATTTTCAAATACTTGTAATAATACATCCAGGTAAAAGTGTTGGATAGGCAGGAGGACACACAGGAGTTCAAGGAGATGTCTGGGGTGGTATCTTCAAGGAGATGGTGTTATGATGGAATCTCATAAGACTGGATGAGATTTTCTAGAAAGAAGAGGCCTGAGGGCTGAGCCTGGGCACTCTGATGTTTAGAAGTCAGGCAGATGTGAAAGAACTAGCAAATTGAGTAAGAAGAAACAGCCAGCGAAGTAGGATAACTAGGCGAGTGTGATGTGCTGGAAATCATCTCCAGAAAACGTCAGTGATCACCCAGGCTAATGCTGTTGAAGAGTCAAGTAAATTGAAGATTGAGAAATGGCCGCTGGATTAGCAAAGATATAATAGTGATAAAAGCAGCTGTGACAAGCCATGGGGGCAAGAGCCTTATTGGATTAGATTCAGGGGGTAATGGTGATCATCCCAATTGATGCAGAAAAAGTATTTGACAAAATTCAACTCCCTTTCATGATAAAAGCACTCAATAACTAGGAATAGAAGGAAACTTCCTTAACATGATAAAGACTATATATGAAAAACCTGCAGCTAACATCATAGTCAATGGTGAAAGACTGAAAGATTTTCCCCCAGGATTAGGAACAAGACAAGGATGCTTACTTTCACCACTTCTATTCAACATAGTATTGGAAGTCCTAGCCAGAGCAATTAAGCAAGAAAAAGAAAGGACATCCAAATCCTTCCAAAGAAAGGAAGAATTAAAATTACCTCTGTTTACAGATGATCTTGTATACATAATCTTATATGTAGAAAAGCCTGAAGATTCCAAAAAACTGTTAGTCAATAAACATTAAGCAGCTGGGCACGGTGGCTCACGCCTGTAATCCTAGCACTCTGGGAGGCTGAGGCGGGTGGATTGTTTGAACTCAGGAGTTCGAGACCAGCCTGAACAAGAGCGAGACCCTGTCTCTACTAAAAATAGAAAGAAATTGGCCAAACAACTAAAAATAGAAAAAATTAGCCAGGCTTGGTGGCGCATGCCTGTAGTCCCAGCTACCTGGGAGGCTGAGGCAGGAGGATCGCTTGAGCCCAGGAGTTTGAGGTTGCTGTGAGCTAGGCTGATGCCATGGCACTCTAGCCCAGGCAAGAGAGGAGACTTTGTCTCAAAAAAAATGAATAAATAAACAGATTAAGCAAAGTGCAAGATGCAAAATCAACACACAAAAGTCAATTGTATTTCTATACACTAACAATGAACAATCTGAAAAGGACATTAAGAAAACAATTCCATTTACAGTAGCATCAAAAAGAATAAAATACTTAGGAATAAATTTAACCAAGGAGGCAAAAGACTTGTGTACTGAAAACTATAAAACATTGCTGAAAGAAGTTAAGGAAGACACCCTTCATATCCATCCTTCCATCCATCCATCCATCCATCATCTGTATGGACTCATGGGCCCCCTCTCTTTTTTTCAATGGTTTATAGTTCATACTTCTTAATCCATGCTCAGATTGTCCCAGGTTTCCCTAGTGGTTTCCCCAGTCCCTTACAGCTGGCTCAGAAAATTCTTCTGGACGCCTGCCTTGACCCTCCTTCCCACCCGTTTTTATGGCTGAATAATATTCCATTACATGTATATACCACATGTTCTTTATTTATTTATCCGTTGATGAATATTTGAGGTTTTTCCATCTTTTGTCTATTGTGAATAATGCTGCTATCAACATGGGTGTACAAGTATCTGTTTGAGTCCCAGACTGTCTTCACCCCCAGCATATTGCAGGGGCAAAAATGTCAGACCCCTGTACTCTTACACCTAATTTTGCAACACCAGGGGGGAAATCCAAAAGAAAAAAAAATATTAATAACAATTTGGGCAGCACAGTTCCTAGTTGCATTACTGCCATAGCAGTTAGTTGCCTGAGAGTCAAGAAATGGTGAGGCAAATACGGTGGAATGTCATGTGCCCATGAGCAGGAGTGAGTATTTGAAGTAGACGGATCCTAGGCAGTGCCCACAGGGACAGGCTGCCAGGTGTGTCCTGAGGCTCTGGGTTATTGCTCTGAGTGTGAACATACTCAGGGACAATGGCAAGCGCTAGGGGTGGCTTGGTGAGAAGCAACTTCAGGGTTTATTGGAGTCTTATTTTCTCCTATAAAGTTGTTTACATATATAATAAGAGAAGAAAAGATGAGATAAGAGTCAGATTATGTAGCTTTGGCTACAGGAAGGAAAGATCTTGCTCCTATAGTTATGTGGATGCATATTTACTAACACCTCCCTGTCTCCACAGAGAAAAGCGGGGCAAGTATCAGGACAGACGTCTTTATGATTTAGTCCCAGAGCTTGGTACCATGAGCAGCCCCCGTGGGACCTGGGATGGCTGACAGGGCCTCAGTGCCTCTTTCTTCCTCAGAATTGGTGGATGGGTGCAGAGGTTGGTGGTAAATCGGGCTTGAATCCCCCAAAACTATGCTTATTACACTCTCCTTCCAATAGAGACTCCCAGCATCCTTTGGAAGAAGAGGACATAGTCTCTCCTGACCTCTGAAGAGGCACCTGCCGCACAGGCACATGGTGTGGGGCATCTCCCAGCCTCCCACTGGAGTGCCCCATCCTGTTTGCTTATTCATGCATTTTCTTGTGGTGAGCACTGACTGTGTGCCATGCTATGGGCTGGGGACACAAAGTGAGAAGATTCCATTCCTGGCCAAAGTCGCCGTGAGTTTCATTTTGAAACATGTGTTCTGCCTCCCACTCCTCACCCAGTTGTTTCCAGGCCCTTCTTGCCTGCGCTTCTCTCTCCCTCCGCCCCATCTCCATCCTCTGTGGGTTAACATGAAGCTCAGTCCATGCCCACCTTTCTGGGAAGGTGCATTCAGAGCCTCCTGTCTGATGGTGGGGCCTGAGCCCAGTCCCCTCTGTGAGCAGAGAGCAGAGGGTCTTGAGTGGGCTGCCTCTGATCCTAACATCCCAGGCCCTAGTGCAATGTGGTGGCTGCAATTCTGAGGGTTCACAGCCCCAGTGGCCTGTGACCAGACCCTGGTGTCAGCTGTGGCCCAGATGGGAAAGGTGAAAATAGATGACCCTTTAGGACCCAACTGACAGATAAAATGCCACATGCTCAAGGAACTGAGTAAGAGCCAGCTCTGCTGAGGCCTGGCAGTTTTGTTGTGGGAAGAGGGAAGGGAGACTCACTGGTGCCTCTGCTGACACCCCCGGAGGCCCCCTCTCTGGGCTGCACTTTTTCCATCTAAAATGAAGGTGTTGGGATGGACGCCCTCTCTAAAGTATCCCATGGAGCTCACTTCTTATAGAGAATTTGGACTTGCCTGCACCTCATCACAGTACCATTTACTGGGCATGTCCTCTCTGCCAGGCCCACACTTGACCCAGCAGGCTTCCCAACAGCCCTGTGAGGTGGGTGTTCTCATTAGCTCCCATTTTCTAGATGAGGAAACAGAGGCACAGAGAAGTTGAGTAACTTGCCCAAGGTCACACAGCAGGTCTGTAGAGCATTCGGAACTGAGACCCAGATCTGTCAGACCCCAAAGTCTGTTCCTTTAGACACTTTTATATTCACTCTGGTACCCTGGATTCTCTGGCCTGGATGGCCTGGTGAAAGCTCATCTCGTTCAAGCCCCTCATTTGTCAGAGGAGAGGAAGGTGGCCCAGACAGGTGAAGCAACTAAAACCCAGACCCTCTCACCCTCAGGCCAGGACTCTTTCCAGAGGCTTCTTTTCCTTTCTGTTTTAAGTAGTGACTTTAATTCTTAAATAGGTAATTCATGCTAAACTGTGATAATGCAAAGGAAATATAGGGGAAAGCAAGCATCCTCCTCCCACCCCTGAGCCCGGAAAAGCAAGGTCTAGGCCTTCCTGCAGACAGCGCCCCGCTAGGGCTTTTTGTAAATGCTGTGTGCACTTCAGGGCGTGGCTTGTTCTATCTGAAGGTGCGGGGCTAAGATACTCGCCCTCAGAACAGCAGAAAGGTCTGACCTCGTTCTTGGGGCCTCGCTCTCCAGCTCGCCTTAAGCCAGCAAAGGCAATTGCTGGTCCCTGGGTGTTGGGTCTGGAAGGGACATTTGGCATCCTCATTCAGTCCCCTTGGTTTTCAGGTAAGGAGCTAATGAAGGCGACTTTCCCACGGACACACAGCAAGTTACTGTGGCGTTGGGCCTCAGTGTCAGATCTCCTCACTCCTGCTCTGGGGCCTTTGCGGCTCTGCCAGGCTGGCTGAACTAACATCATTTTAAAAATTACCAGTGCCCCTGTGGAGAGCAGAGCATTGATATCTACCAAAATTGCAAAGGCTTTGCTCCTGCACCCAGCATTTCCACTTCAAGGCATTCAGTTCTTCCCATAGGTACACTCACGTAAGGTAAAATGACCTCTGTGCAAACTCATTCTTTGCAGCACTGACGGTAATAGCGACAGATTGGGAGCAACCCAGATGCCTGTGGAGAGGAGGCTAGTTAAGTTATGGACGCTCCGCACAAACAGAATGCTGTGGGGCTGTGAAAGAACGGGCCGCCCCTCCGTGTGCTGATGGAGAAGTCTCCATCGCCAAGATACGTTCTTTCATGCAACGCTCAGGGTGCAGAACACATTGATGTGCTCTCATTTGTGTAAATAAGACAGAAAATAATACATAGACATATTTGCTCCTCGGTACATACTTCTCTGGAAAGATCTAGAAGAAACTGGTAACTAGGATGCATCAAGGTGGCTGGGGGGCACTTTTTAAATTTTGAGCCCAGTGGATAAATTATGTATTCAAAATGTAAAACAAAAATGAAAACCACAAGCAGCTGTTTTTGAACTTGAAGAAAACCAGAAAGTCAGTAAAGATTAGCCTGGCTTTTCTAGACTTGATCTTGATGGTAACCAGAATGCCAAGCCACACATGGTCCCAGCTTTTGGTGGCCCATTGTTGGGGTCACATAAGAGACAAGAAGCTGCTGTTCTCCATTTTCTTTCCTTTTTAAATCAGCTCTTCTTGGCTCCTGATTTCCTAGGTCTGATATGCAAGGTTCCAAGGTTTTATTGTTTCTAATCAAGGTCCCTTTCCCCAGCCCTGCCCTTTGGCAGCCGCAGCAGGGGCACATCTAACCCAGGACCACATAAGAAGGGCTGTCTGCTCCCCTGAGGACCCACTCTGTGGGAGCACGGGGCATCAGAGATAGGTTTTCCCTCTGGATGCTTCGAAAGGTGAGTGGGTGAAGTCGCCATGCAGCGCCATGTCTTGGCCAGGAGGGCACCCGATGCCCCTCCAGCCAGCTGGCCCCAGACCCCTCCCTTCCCTCAGGCAGCGCCATGGCCCTTGCACCCCGACTGTGGCTGTGTGTTCCTCGCACTGTTTGTCTGTCGCATCACTTTAAAAACAACAAAAAACAAACTTGTCACTTAGGCACAATTTTAAATTTACAGGAAGATTGCAAGAATGGTAAGAATTCCTGTCCACCCTTCGTCTAGATTCCCTAAATGGTTACCACATTTACTCTGTCCTTCTCCATCAGTCGGTAGACAGGTAAATGGGTGACGTAGACAGATTTTTTTGAACTCTTGAGAGTAAGTTGCAGACATTACATTATTAAATACTTCAATCAGTATTTCCTAAAAAGGACATTCTCTTACGTAGGAGGATGTGACAGGATGGAGGGGTGGGGTGGAGAAGCCTTGCCAAGGGCCACCTGTGGGCTATGGAAAAGGGTTGGATTTGACTCCAGTGCTCCCTGGAGCTCATGACACAACCTGACACGACCTTTTCAAAAAGGTCCCCCAACAGCTTGCAGGGCTGGCGGTGGCGTCTGCCTCTTCCAGATGACAGAAAGAGAGGTTAGCGGTTGCCCTGGGTCACCCAGTGTGAACACGCATGTCTGTCTGTAGCACGAGCCTGCGAGGGTTAAACAGTGACACAAAGCAGATACAGGGACATGTGTGACAGAGGCAGGAGCTCCTGGAGGTCTGGGTCCCGCAGGGTGACCAGGGAGGAGGTGGAGGGGAGGAGCAGGGGACGCTTGTCTAAACTGAGTGGAAAACCAGAATTGGCACTCGGGCAGAGGGAGGCCATGAGGCCCCTGGAGGGATTGAGGGGCCAGGCCCAGGGGGCCAGGGGACAAGAGAGGAACCTGGAGGGGGAGGGTGGGGGCTCAAGGAGTAGGCAGTAGGTGCCCCTAAAGCAGGGAGCTTCTCTTGGAGGTGGCCCACAGCTGGGGCCGGTGTCAAGACTCTGTTCCCTTTGGTGTTTCCAGGGCCAAATCCTAACATCTCCAGACACACCCTGGTGGTGGTCAACCCGAGGATGGCCGAGCTGCTGCCACGGCTGGCGGGTGACCCTTCACCATGAGTCCGACACAGAGGTGGGGAACCCGCCGGCTGGGGTGCTGGCTGGCTGGCTTCTGGCTGATTCCTCGCCTCATCAGGGGAGTGCCAGCCCCTTCCTTGCCTTCCCATCAGTCACGCTGCTCGAAACCATCACGGTTCACGGCAGAGTACGCAGAGGCCGAGTCTCCAAATGTCACAGCATTTCCCCCTCAGGCCTCCCCAAAGCGCACAATTGCGCTGACTGTGGCAAACCTCCTACGTCTCACCCTTTCCCCTTTCAATTTCAGAAGAAACACTGTTCACTGGAGGAAATGAGCAGAGAGAAGTAAACAAAAAGAACCCATCGTCTGTCCTTCCAGTCTTGTTCTATGTTTAAATACAAAGGTGGAGGCAGCCGGTCTCTCATTTCTTCACTCTGCAAGACATTGTGAATGTCCCTTTTGTGTTCAGTGTTCTCCAACAAAAGAGTTGTTCACAGTGGCTTCTGCGCAAGTGCGTGGGCCCTCGGTGGCTGATTTTCCACCCTTTTGCGGGGCGCTGGGAGTTCGCGGTTGTCCCTCGTCTTCCTAGTATCCTAATGAGCCATCTCTCGGCCAGGTCTTTGGACTAGCTTGTGGACATTTCCTTAGGATAAATCCCAGGAGGCTTAATTGCTAGGTGAGTTCCATGATTTTAAAATAGCGATTACTCAGGGTTTTTGCAGGAGCTGGATCTGGGTGGGAACGAGACGGGCGGGCTGCAGTCTGCTCCAGCGCCCGGGCGCGTCCCCCTCTCCCTCCTCGCCAGCTCCCAGTCCCAGCCTCAGTGCTGCATCCGAGCGCTTCTGAGGGTGTCGTGACAATCTCTCTAGAAGGGCTTTGCTTCATTTCCTCTCATCTTGAAGTCTTGGTTTTTTTACAAAGTCTGGTGGGCAAGTCAGCTCCAGAGGTAGGAATGAGGTAGGGGCCAGAGTTGCATTTCTTTACTCAAAAAATTTTTATTCATGTATAACACGTACAAAGGACACAGATCTTAAGTGTTCACACAATGAATGTTTACATGTGAATACCCCACTGCCCAGGTCACGGTGGGTGACCTTCCCTGCACCCTGGAAGGCTAGTGGCCTGCCTCCTTTGGAATGAGCAGTGACCAGGGGCCTATGACGTGCTAGGGACGCAGCCGGAAAGGCAGGATTGTGGGCTGCCTGCTGGGCGTAGGGCTGTACTCACTGAGTAAGGGGATGGGACGCTGTTTCTGCTGCCCTGCTGGTGCCCAGGGCCACCCCTCATGAAGCATCGATGCCGCTGAGGGGCATAGCCTCCTTCCCTCCGCAGCAAGAGGGGTATGGGGAGCAAGAATAGTGGATTCTGGGGTAGTAGCACCAGCTCCACCTCCTGGGCCCCCTCTCTGAGCCTGTTTTCCCACCAGCAAAATAATTGTAGTTAAGCATTTGTAGATATTAGCTCACTTAATTCTCACAATAATCCCAAATGGGAGAGGGAGACCCTGTTATCATTCCAAATTTATATATTTATTTATTTATTTAAGACAGGGTCTCACTCCATTGCCCAGGCTAGAGTGCAGTGGCATGATCACAGCTTGCAGCAACCTCAAACTCCTGGGCTCAAGTGATCCTCCTACCTCACCCTTCTGAGTAGCTGGGACTACAGGTGCACACCACCACACCTGGCTAATTAAAAAAAAAATTTTTTTTTGTAGAGACAGGTTCTCACTACGTTGCCCAGGCTGGCCACAAACCATTCCATGTTTCTATATAAGGAAACTGAGGCACAGGAGAGATTAAGTAACCAGCCAAGGTCATATAGCTAGTAAGAGGCAGAGCTGGTATTTAAACTGAGAGCCAACTGCTCCTACAAGATATTTCATAATAACAAGCATCTTGTGGTTTGGGGAGAATCCTGGACCAAAGACAGAAGTGTTTTGTGACAGTGATGAGAATTATTATAATTGGTACCATTGGGCTGCAGCAAGGTCTGTCTACCCTAATTATCTCTCCAGCTATTATTTATCCTAAAAGGCTGGGCTTGCCGTGGATCTAGCTAGGGCTGCGTGTATTCCAACAACAGAGAAAGGGGTTGTTATTTTTTTTTTTTTTTTTGAGACAGAGTCTCACTCTGTTGCCCAGGCTAGAGTGCCGTGGCGTCAGCCTAGCTCACAGCAACCTCAAACTCCTGGCCTCAAACAAACCTCCCACCTCAACCTCCCAAAGTCCTAGGATTACAGACATGAGCCACCGTCCATGCCCGGCCTCCTTTATTTTACTTATTTATTTTTTAGAGATAGGTCTCACTCTGTCACCCAGGCTAGAGTGCAGTGACAGCTCACTGCAGCCTTGAACTCCTGAGCTAAAATGATCCTCCTGCCTCAGCCTCTCAAGTAGCTGGGACTACAGGTGTACACCACCACACCCGGCCAATTTTCTTTTCCTTTCTTTTTTCTTTTTCTTTTTTTGTTTGTAGAGATGGGGCCTTGCTGTGTTGCCCAGGCTGGTCTCAAACTCCTGGCCTCAAGCAATCCTCCCACCTTGCCCTCCTGAGTCGCTGGGATTACAGGTATGAGCCACCGTGCATGGCATCTTTTATCTCCTTTAATCTGGAACAGTTTCTCAGCCTTAGTCATTTTGAACGTATTTTTGAGGAATAGAGGCCCCCTCTTTTTAACAGATCGTTCCTCATATTGAGTTTGTCTGATGATCCATCATCTTTAGATTCAGGTTATGCAACTCTGGCTAGAATATTATGTAAACGATGTGGCCTTCTTGGAAAATTGTATCTGGAGTTACACAATATCTACCTGCCTCTCGTCAGGCATGTTAAATGCAATAATTTGGCTAAGGTATTGTCCAATTCTTCTGCTATATAATTACTGTATTTTCCTTGGTAACTAATACATAGTCTATGTGGAGATACTTTAAGATCATGCAAATATCCTGCTCCTCATCAGAATTCCCAACCCTCTAGACTTAGCACCCACTGATGGTTCTTTTTTTTTTTTTTTTTTTTTTTTTTGAGACAGAATCTCACTGTGTTGCCCCGGCTAGAGTGCCGTGGCATCATCCTAGCTCACAGCAACCTCAAACTCCTGGGCTCAAGCGATCCTCCTGCCTCAGCCTCCCGAGTAGCTGGGACTACAGGCATGGGCCACCATGCCCGGCTAATTTTTTCTATATATTTTTAGTTGTCCAACTAATTTCTTTCTAATTTTAGTAGAGACGGGGTCTCTCTCTTGCTCAGGCTGGTCTTGAACTCCTGAACTCAAACAATCCGCCCACCTCGGCCTCCCAGAGAGCTAGGATTACAGGCGTGAGCCACCACGCCCGGCCCCACTGATGGTTCTTGCCCAAACCATTCTTCACTGTGATGGCTGCACAGTGACTTCTGGCTCCAGCTCTCCATCACCTCTGCCTGCTACGAGGGGAGCCCTCCCTTCATATCCATCCATCCATCCATCATCTATATGGACTCATGGGCCCTCTCTCTTTTTTCCAGTGGTTTACAGTTCATACTGTTAATTACATCCATGCTCAGATTGTCCCAGGTTTCCCCAGTGGAAGTCCCTTGCAGTTGGCTCAAAAAGTTCTTCTGGACGCCTGCCTTGACCCTCCTTCCCACCCACCTCCCTCTCCCCAGCACTTGCTGTTCCAAACCCCTCACCTTGTAGACCCCCGGCCTGGGCAGTCCCCCGTGGCAAGTCTGCCTCTGTCCCGGGGTGGAGGATGCCTCTGTGTATGTTATGTGTGTGTGGTCTTGCTTTGGAGGACAGGGTTTGCATACCTGCTGAGGAGGAGCGAGCAGAGAACGTCCTCAATGACACGGGCTACCATTACGTGGGTTTGGCCAAACATATCAAAGACCTGGAACTTTGGTCAGGTAATAGATCTGTCATTCTGTGGCCCCACATGCTAGATCACCATTTTAGTTATGTCATAGCCAGTAAAGGTTGTGGAAAACATTTTGTGAGCTTCAGGGCAAAGCCCAGCCTCCCATGTGTCAAACTTGTGCAGACAGGTGGTGACGTCTGAGCTGGAAGCCCCTCCTCCTCTGTCCTTCCCCAGCTCCCAGCTTCCAGAGTATTCATCAAGGAACCAACCACTTGACAATTACTTACAAGGAAGCCCTGTTACAATTAGAATGTTGATGTTGACAAAGAGCTTCTAAAACTTGAGGGAGACTTTTCTGGGGAAGACTTTGGTGTGGAGGCCTGTGCTAAGTGGAAGGATGGATGTCTCCGTGCAGCCACGCCACGAGGCAGAGCAGCAATGTGGACAGAAGCTCAGGATGGCTCTAAAGCCCAGGTGGGGAGGACCCATGGCACCAGAAACTTCAAACCCTCCCTTGCACCAGATGTTGCAACAAAAGGCTTCTGGAAAATGCCAAGCCCTACACAACTGCCTGAGGTTCCCCCTCCTCTCCCTTGGCCTGGACACCCAGGACAGGACGGAAGCAGGGACAACAGAGGACGGACTTCCCAAAAGTGAGGCCCACTGGTGCACGATGCACAAACGGCCAATATGCAGACCACAGGAGGGGACGGGGAAGAGGGAATCCCTGGGTCCTAGGTAGCTGCCCCTCTTCGAAAAGCAAGGGGAGACTTTAAGAACCCCAAAGAATTATAACCACACAGCCCTTCAGACTCTTTCTGGAACATGAACATTATTGTCTATTCCTTTTATTTTGATATTTTTCTCCTTAGATTATAAAGCAATACATGTACTTCGACTCTGTAAATATACTCAAACCATGAATCGTCCAGTTTAAATGGTAGATTTTATGAGATATAAACTATGTCTCGATAAAGTGGTTTAAAAGAAATAGGATTTCAAAAGTAACACACACTTATCACAAAAGACATAGAAGACTTCTGAAATGCAGAGACGTGGAAAAAAAATCATTCATAACCTCCTCCCCCAGTGACAGTGACTAAGCCTGTTCGTGTATTTCATTCTTTTTTCTATTACTGATGCTCACATAGTTGAGGTGATGCTCTGTGTGCACAACTTTGTAGCCTGTTTCTTTTATTTAACTTGATTACCAAGGAATTTTCCCCATGATATTAAAAACTCTTCTTGCACTTCTTTTTAATGCCTGTCCCCTCAGCTCTATGGATTTACTTAACTATTGCCCGGTGGCTGGATAATGAAGCAGTTTCTAATTTTTGATGCTGTGGTGGACTGTTTTTGTGGGGGTGGAGGCAGGGGAGGCGGTGTACTCCAAGGGTGGCTGCGATGTGCAAATTAGATGGTGTGTGTTAGTTTCTGACATAGGGCAAACTCTTGTCGACTACCTCTTTCTTCATTTCCCAAAATAGTTTGAGGAAAAACGTCCTGAAGCCTGCATTTCTCTGCTGAATGAGAGCTCCCTGGACCCCACAGAGAGGAGGGACCCGGTGCTGGTGCGCAGAGCCACCTCTTCGCTGGCAGGTGTGGGAGCCTGGGCTCAGCATACAAGATTCTAATAACACACCAGTCTAGAGAGTAACTTTGCCCCAGTTTGATGCTGTCTTGTGCTGTGTGCCAAGTGTGCTCAGCAGTTTTTAGGTTTTTTGCTCAGCTGGATCGTGAGCGCTTTGAAGCACACCACCGGTGCTATGGCCAATCCGCCACTCAAAACCATCAAGAAACATACATTTGCCGAAGTCTGTTCTGAGCACAGGTTTTCAAGTTAGACCTGAGTTCAGAGCCCCAGCCCTGCCACTTACAGAAAATGGCTTTACCTCTCCAAGCCTCAGTTTCCCCATCTGCAAAATGGTGTTAATACATAAGGTCCTCTTCTACCTGCAAGCAGGGCTCCAGTTAAGGTGAGCAAATCATTTCGGTTCACCTGGGACTTTCCTGGTTTTCGCACTGAGAATACCGTATCCCAGGAAACCCTTCAGTCCTGCCCACTTCAAGTCAGTTTGCCCAGAGCAGCAGTTCTCCAACATTTTGGTCTCAGGACCCCTTTATATTCTTGAAAATTATCTAGGACTCCGAATAGCCTGTGTTTATATGGTTTATATCTATAAATATTTATTGTATTAGAAATTAAAATGGAAAAGTTTAAACATTTATTTATTCTAGAAGAATGATAAATCCATTATATGTTAACATAAATAATGTATTTTTGTAAAAAAAAAAAACAAACCCAAACCTAGGTTTTTGAAGCATATGTAGTGAGAAGAATAGCATTGTTTTACATTTTTGCAAGTCTCTTTCATGTCCAGCTTATTAGAAGTCAGCTGGAGTTTCATATCTGCTTCTGCATTCGATTCGTTGTTTTACTTAAAATATATGAGGAAAACCTGGCCTCACACAGATACGTAGATGAAAAAGGCAGGAATATTTCCACAGCCTTTTCAGATAGTGGAAGATATTCTTCTTTGATATTATGCCCACGCTCAACAAGTGGCAGTTTCGTAAAGTTGGTTGCAACGTGTCAGTTTGTCATCCTCTGTACACTTACCAGAGAATGACAGTGAAAAAGGCAAGTATTGCCTTGGGATTATTGTGCAAATAGTTTCAATCACAGACACCTCTGAGACCCACGCTCCAAAGGCCCACTGAGACTTTAGCCACGTGGCTGTTCTTGCCACCTGTGGACGGCTGTGTTTATCCCCAGGCGAGTCTATGAGCTGAAAGGTCTTAAGTCAGGGGCTTTTGAAATGCTCTCCTTGCAGGGTAGCTGTGAACGTGTGCCTGGCACCATGGGGCACCTCCTAAATGTTGGGGCTCCAGTTCCCTGCATGGCCTGCATTCCATATTGGGGGCTGGCCTTCTGGGGCCCAGGAGTGGAACCCACCACGCCTGCTCTTCCCCTGCACCTCCATGCTGGCATGTTTGTTCTTCAGCCCAGGGGTCAGTGGGGTGGCCAGGCTGGACCCTGAGAGAGAACTGTTAGGTCTGGAGATGAGAGAGAGAGACACACGAAGCCTCATGTGTAGCAAAGTGCTGTTTATTTTGAACATCGGGGCGCAGATGGATGGAGGCCAAAGAGCATCCACGAGAAAAAAGGGGAGAGCCTTGGGTTTTATAGAGGGTTTCTCTGGGGGGAGTGAGTAAGTGGGCCAGAACAGCCGCTTGCAATAAATTCTTTTTCAAACAACCAGCTCCTGGGATCCCTGCCCCAGTCACATCCATCCTTCAGCTCTGGTGTTGTCCTTATCAGGAGAGATGGGGAGGGCTAAACTTCATCTCTATCAGGGAGGGCGGGGGAAGGAATGCTGGCTGCAGCTGTCTGTTAGATTTACAATGTCCGGGGACTCTCCAGACTCCTGCAGCTACTGTTTTACAAGCCTATGTTTTCCATTAACCACATTCTGTCCTATACATACTTTTTGGGTTCCCACCTGGAACAAACCTAGCAAGAATGAGAAAGGGAGATGGAGTCATTAGTAGACGGAGAGGCCCTAGCTCCCGGTGGTGCAGGTGGACTTGCACACACCTGGCCGCTTCTCTCCTTTCAAGCTCGAGACTCTGGGACAAGCCTCTCTAGGCTTCTGTTATCCCATCTTTGGGGTTATTATGAGGACTCAGTAACACATAACAAGTGCCCAGCCCAAAGCCTGACACACTGTGGGCCTATTAGTAGCCTACTCCCTGGTGATTCCCACGTGTGTTGGAGTTTGGGAAGCAGTGGGCGAAGTCGATGCCTGTTTCAGAGACCAGGAGACTAGCCCGGGGAGAAAGGGCAGTTGGCCAAGGTGATCGAGCCAGCTGTGCTGCCTCCAGTGTGGTGCTCCCTCCTAACACCTTCCAAGCCACCTCTTCAAGCTGTGAGCCAAGTGCAAGCACCTCAGAACTCCAAGATGTTGCAGGAGTCACTTCCAAAATTAGGTTACCAAATATTGGGTTCCGTGTTTGGAAATCTCAGAACCCCAGCCAACCTTGGATGCCCTCAGCTGCAGGCCTGACAGTGTTCCCCTCCCAGGACCCTGTGAATGTTGCTCCTTCACCCCTACAAATATGTGGCCATTGATGTGCCTACTTGATTTACATTTGAGACAAGGCCTCACTCTGTCACTCTTACTAGAGTGCCGTGGCGTCATCATAGCTCACCGCAACCTCAAACTCCTGGGCTCAAGCGATCCTCCTGCCTCAGCCTCCCAAGTAGCTGGGACCACGCCCAGCTAATTTTTTCTATTTTTTTTTGGGGTTGGGGTCTTGCTCAGGCTGGTCTCAAACTCCTGGCCTCAAGCAATCTTCCCACCTGGGCCTACCAAAGTGCTAGGATTACAGGTGTGGACCACAGAGCCTGGCCCCACCATAAATTTCTGACCCGCAGCCAAAGCCTCTGGCAGGCTGGCCTAACAACAGCTCCCATACCAGTGCGGACAGAAAAAAAAAAATCCAAAAATAATTTAAAGAGGTTTATTCTGAGCCAAGTTTGAGGACCATGGCCAAGAGCAACACCCAAGAAGCCTTGAGCAAGTGGACTCACTGTGGTTGGGTTACAGTTTGGTTTTATACACTTCAGGGAGACAGGAATTACACGTAGTCATGAATCAATCCATGGAAGACATACATTGGTTTGGCCCGAAAAGGCAGGACATCTTGAAGCTGGGGCTTACAGGTTATAGGTGGGTTTAGAGATTCTTTAGTTCACAATTGGCTGGAAGAGTTAAGCTTTGTCTAAAAGACCAGGCGTCAGTGGAAAGGAAATGCTTGAGTTTAAGATAAGGGTCTGAGCACTCTGGGAGGTCCAGACCTGAGGACTGGCTTGAGCTTAAGATAAAGATCTTCTAGGATGCTTGAGTTAAGGTAAGAGGGTCCTCTATCTCTCATGTGACCTGTGCCAGAGGCAGGTTGGGAAGCAAGCCACATTATATCTAACAAAACCTGTTTAGTGAGATTTATCTTCCGCAGGCGTGACTTACCAGGCCCCTTAAAAAGGAATTTGGGCAAAAGAAAAAGATCCAAGTTTAGTCCTCACCAGGCAAGTACCCACGCGCATTCATTTTATATTGCTGTGTAACAAGTTACCATCGTCTCACCTGTTGTGGGTCAGGAACCCAGGTGTGGCTTAGCTGGGTGCTGAGAGTCTCTCACAGACTGCAGGCACCTGAAGGCCCGACTGGCAAGGAGCCCCCTCTGGGCTCACTCACCCGGCCAGGGGCAGCCTCAGGTCCTCGCCACACAGACCCTACCGTGGGGCAGCTGCCAGCATGGCAGCGGCTTCCTTCGGAGCAAGCCAGTGAGAGAGGGAGCCCCCAAGCTGGAAGCCACAGCCTCTGTAACCTCATCTCAGAAGTGACAGCCCCTCACTCTCCCGTGTCCTGTTGGTTTGAAGTCAGTCACTACGTCTAGGAGACGGGATTACTGGGGCCGTCTTGGAGGCTACCTGCCACGCCTGGGATCAGGACTGTGCTTTGTTCCACAGGAAATGGAACATAGTGCATTAGGAGTTTTGAAAGTCTGAGCGAGTGTCCTTTGGGCTCAGCGTGGCTCCCCATTCCTCGTCCACCTCTCCTCCCGGCCAGCCGCTCTACAGCCAGCGCGGGGCCTGCAGGCACTGACAGGCTGTGGCCACTATGGGGCAGGAGGGAGCTGCAGCCCCAAGCAGGGAGGTGACTGGGTGACAGGACAGGGTGTGTGCAGCACTGCTTCCACCAGGACACTTTGCTAGTCTCCCTTTTGTCTGTTTTCATTCCTTCTGATCACTCTTGGGTGTGGGGGTGGCCTGTTGTCCAGCCATGCTACCTTGTAACAGAGGGAGTGGCCTGAAAAAAAAAGGCGAAAATATTGTCTGTCTCTTTAAAACATGCTCCACTCCTTTTTGAGAACTGAAGCCTGCACCCTGCCTCAGGCCAGGGGTTGGGAGGGGCAGGGTAAGTCTTTTGTTTATTTGTGCAACAGGAGATGGCCCAGCCCCACTGGGTAAAGGGAGGTCCTGGGCGGAGGTCACGAGATTGTCTTCAACAGAGATGGATGACCAGAATCATCAACTGTAGCTGAACAGTAATTGCCTGAAGCTGAGACCCCTTCCTTTAAAAGCTCTGTCTTTCTGCTAACGTTCGGGAAATTTGGATTCTGAGAGGAGAAGGTCTGCCATTTTTCCACCTTTGCCGGCAAAGTAATAAAATGTCTCTTTCCTTCCTCCTCAAATCGCTTGTCCTCGTTCTGATTTGGCCTCATGGACAAGTGGCCGAGCTTTTGGTAACAACCCCAGAGGTCAGAAGAGGCCACACCAGTTTTTGAGGCTCCTTGTAAACTAAAACCAAACAAACCCCAAAACAGGACTCGGGAATTGTGGCATAATGTAAGAGTTTCGACTTAACAAACTGACATCTTGAACACCCTGGGAAACTGAGGCCGTGTAATTGTGCTCTTCACAAGGCATGATGGGGTTTGCAAAGAATGTTAATATGCAGGCCAGGAGGGGGTGAGAGGGTGGGGAGGTCAAACCCAGACCACCAGATCAAAGATTTGTGACTATGTCACCTTCTTTGGTGTTTTCAGAGGGTTCCTCTGGGCCTCCCTGTACAGCCTTTTTTAGAGATTTCATTGACAGTCTAAATTTGGGCCATTTGTTAATTTTTAATTATTTATCTTGTGCTTACTATGTGCTAAGGTACTGTTGTAAGTGCTTTAACAGATGTACTCATGTGGCTTTGCCTTCTCTCTGGTTTTTATATTAATAAAATGCAAAGGATTGTCCACCCAGGGCTCCTCAGAGGTTGGGAGAGATGCGAGCCACTGACAATTAATTTAGAAATGTAAGATGCCCAGACAGGCATAGCTTAACCCAGGTCATCCTCAAATCCACTCTAAAGGTAGGTGCTATAATGATCACCAGTTTACAAAGGAGGAAACAGGCACAGGCAGGAAGCATCTACCCCAGGTGACACAGTTGGTGTGCTCCTTGGCCCTTCTGGGTGCCCTGCCTGCCCTGGACAAACTCTGTCCTCCAAATGTCCTGAGACACTCTGGGGTGTCCGCATTGGGAGCTGGGTGGCCAGGCTGAGGGGTGGACGCTGACCTCACACATGTGTGTGTCAGGTGAAGGTTCAGAATGGCAAAGGCATGCTTGTTGGGAATTGGTCTGGGGACTGCAGGGGTGGCACAACCCCGTGGACAGACAGAGCTCCCTTCCTGCAGCAGAGCGACATCACAAGGCAGCCCGTGTCCTTCGGCCAGTGCTGGGTGTTCTCCGGGATCCTGACCGCAGGCAGGCAGGAGGCCCAGGGGCCGAGGGGAAAGGTACCAGGGGAGGGGCTCCCAGCCCCCACAGTTGCCAATCACCCCCACCCAGGGGCATTTCAGTGCTGGGTGCTGGGAGTGTTGGGCATCCCAGTGTGCAACGTGACAATCTTCGAGTCAGCCCACGACATGGCAAAGAACTCATGGTGGACATCTATGTGAATGAGATGGGCAAAGCAATGACCATTGTGACCTCCAACTCTGCTTGGTAGGGTCCCTCCTGTAACAGAGGGAATGGCCTGAACAGGGCAAAATGTATCACAAGCTGTCTCTTTAAAACTTCCCGCACTCTTTTTGAGAATTAAAACCTGCATCCCCATCTCAGGCCAGTGGTGGGAAGGGACAGGGGAGTGTCCTTTGTTCTTTGTGCTATAGGAGATGGCTCAACAGAACCTTCAGGGCAGGTGGAGTTACCAGCAGAAGTCAGGAGTTTATTTTTACAGGAGATGGGACAGATCAGACTCATCAACTGTAGTTAAACAACAATACCCTGAAGCTGAAAACCCTTCCTTTAAAAGCTCTGTATTCTGCTTATGGTTACGAAAGTTGGTATTTTAAGACAGGAGTCTGTCATTTCCCTGATCCGTCAGCAAATTAATAAATGTCCCTTTCCTTCTCCTCAAACCACTTGTCCTCATTCTTCTGATGCAGCCTTGGGGACAAGTGCCGAACTTTCGGTAACACTCCTTCTCACCTTGGCCTGCCTCCTTCTCCCAGGGGTTTTCTAGCCCCAGCCCAGTCTCCAGACCCTCTCAACCCACAGACTCCACTGTACCATGGGCCCTTCAGCCCCTTCAGAGACTGATTCAAGTTGTAGGCAGGTGCTCACTCCTCCTGAAATTCAGTATTTTTTAACATTTAGCATTGGACAATCTGCACCTGGGTCACCTGGGGGTGCTTGTTAAAAATGCAGAGTCCTGTGCTGGAGGCTTTGCCTCTAGAGGTGAAGGCCAGGAATCTGCATTCAACGTTGCTAGCACCCGGCCTGGAGATCTGGCATAAAGCACTGCTTGAAACCTTTGATGTAACTGGTACCCACCGGCCAGCATTAAGCTCTGTTTTCTTAGTTCTCTGATCCTGAGCACATGGACCCCTTGCAAGCTAAAAGTGACCTCAGAGGAGAAAAGGAATAGGCAAGTTGCACAGGGAATGGAGGAGGAGGTGCAGTCGGGGCATGACTATGAAAACCTGAGGCTTTCCAGCAGAAGCTGGGGCCAGACAGCAATGCCGGTTCTCACAGCCTTTATTCAAAAGTTGCTCAGAAGTTCTAGTTCATGTACCAAGGCAAGAAAAAACAAAAGACTTGACACTATTGGAAAGGAGGCACTAAAACCATACCATTGCAGATGATATACAGTTACACAGTTGACCCTTGAACAACATGGGTTTGAACTGTGAGGGTCCACTTATACATAGACTTTTTTCAACCAAACTCAGATGGAAAATACTATTTGCGGGGTGTGAAACCCATATATATGGAGAGCCGACTTTTCATGTAGGTGGGTTCCGCAGGGCTGACTGCGGGACTTGAGTATGCACAAATGTGGGTGTATTCGGGGGTCCTGGAACCTATCCCCCATGGATACTGAGGGATGACTGTAATTGTCCATCTAGGAAACTAAGAGAACCAACTTAAAAATAGCAAGAGTTAATATGAATTCAAATACTGGCAAGTTTCAAAATTACTGATCAACAAGATCAGAATCCCTGCAAGGGGCAGTCTACAAACTAGCAAAGGATTGCAACTGTTATTTTATCCATTCATCCAACAAAAGTTTATTAGGTGTCTACTATGCCTCAAACATGGAAGATGTCAAGATACAGATTTGGTCCTGCTTGGGGAGTTCATTGAATTTAGGGTGAGAACTCCTGGGCCCTTTGGGAGCCAGGGGCATGATCGGGGTCTCATGAGGTTTCCCCACCCTGCCCACTTGCACCCAGCTCTGTGCCCTGTGAGGCTTTCGGGGATGGATGGGACTCAGTGATGGCCCCTCCCTTGCCAGTGTTGGCAAAGGTTCCCCAACCCCTGAGAACAACCTCATTGTGTCCCTGGTAATGAAGATGTCCCTGGCAGTTTGGGCATATCTGTCTCTAATATGCTTGGGTGGGCTGGGGTGCGGCCGTTCCTGACCTGCTGCAGGAATGCTCACAGGTGGAAGGACACCTGGATGAAGTCACTGGCACTGCCCAAGGGCTAGGGTGGCTGGCAGGCAGTGGATGGCACGCCGCAGGAGTGCAGCCAGGGTGAGGGGGGTGGCGGGAGGGCATTCTGCATCTGTGTTGCTCTCCAGACCTGGCCCCGGGTTCTATGGGTCTTGGGTATGCAGCCAAGCAGGTGGGGAAAGTTTTAGTAAAAATTTCCCAAAACAAAAACATACCCAATCACTCCTGCCATTCCCACTGAGCAGGGGCTTCAGTTTGCCAGGTATTTTTATAAAGCTAAAGCTACTAATAATTCTGATGACAGGAATGATACATGTGTCACGTGTGAGACCTACTTGACCCATTTAACTCACAACTAAGCTTTTGAAATAGGTTCTGTTATTATCCCCATTTTACAAATGAGGAAAATAAGGCTCAGAGAGGTGAAGTGAGTTGCCTGAGGTCACACAGCTCCAAGTGGCTGGACTAGGATCACGGCCTAAGCTGGATATAGTGGGCATGATTATCTTACTTGGCTATGGGTTACCAGTTCCTGGGTACGACAGGAGACTTTTTGTAGCTGGAAGGGTCTTGGGGGTTGGGGAAACAAAGGCATGGGGTTGGTCTGAAGTTGCTTGGAAAATCTATGGAATGAAGTTATGTTTATTTTAAATGTGAGTCCCAGTAGGAAAGACAAAAGTCTGCCCAATAAGGGAAAAGTAGATTAGATCAATAGTTTTATTTATTTATTATGTTTTTTTTTATTTCAGAATATTATGGGAGTACAAATGTTTTGCTTACATAAATTGCCTTTGCACCGCCAGTCACAGCTACAAGCATGCCCATCCCCCAGACAGCGCGCACTGCACCGGTTAGGTGTGAATTTGCCTATCCCCTCCTCCCTCCTCCCACCTGCCCTCGATGAATGTTACTTTTGTATTTGCGTTTGTGTTGATCGATTAGTACCAATTTAATGGTGCTTACATGTGGTGTTTGTTTTTCCATTCTTGTGATACTTCACTTAGAAGAATTGGGCTCCAGCTCCACCCAGGAGAGATCGATAGTTTTCAAATTTAGCAGTTAAACCCTTCAGAAGGAAACTTTATGTGACACCTCGTTATGTAAAAGCAGAACTGCTCTAGCTGAAGTGTGACTGGGGACGAGCCTGCCCCTAAATCCCTGACACCCCTGCCCCATCCTGCAGCTCCTCAGGGACCTCAGCTTTCATGGGACACTGGGCAGATCCCTGAAGTAGATGCCTCTATAGGTCTTTCTAGCAATAAGTCTCAGTCTGCTGTGCCTCATCCCAGGAATAGCAAATTCACCTGCCCGTAGGGCCAGTGAGTCAATGGGGGTGTGCAACCTGGAAAGTGGGAACCCAGAGACACGACATGCAGGTCTCCAGAGGCATTCAAAAGAAAATTTTAAAATTCTCTGCTGTCCCCAAACCCCTCAGTGTGGGACCCTTGATTTCTCTAGCTGCAGTATGAACCCACCTGGCCTGAAGGCAAAAAGTACTGTTAAAAGTAAAACCGGCCTCCACGTTTCTCCAGACCAGGCACTGCCCTTATAATGGGGGTGAGGGTGGCGGGAGATGGCCCTCCGATGGTGGGAGGGGCTGGTGACCCGCCCATGCCCCCTTGCATTCTGCTGAGAGATTCTCAGCAGGGCATGAGGGCTCTTTTTGTCCAGGGAGTTCCAGTAGCATCTGCTGAGGTGGGGACAGTAGCTATGGCAACCAGGCAGTGAGCAGCCCGTGCCACCATCTGCCTGAGAGACAGAGGAAACGCTGTTCCTTGGCCAGAAAGGGGACTTAGAAGCCTACCTAATCCACTCACTCTATAAACAAGGACTGAGGGGGAGAGTGGGGCTGCCCATGGCTAGTCCACGAGTTAGGGGCAGAGCCAGCCTTAGGTTGGTGTTAAGGCCTAGGGACCATAGGCAGCAAATAACCAGCCATTAGCTTCTGTATTATGTTTGCTTGCTTGCTTAAGAGAGTGGGAAGTTTTCAGCTGACCCTTATCTGACCCCAAACCTGCCATCTCGCCTTCGTTAGTGCACCTAAGAATGTAAGGAAGAAAACCGTGCCTTTCACACGGCTGTCCACAAGATAAAATAGTTACCTGGGCCAGAGGGTCGGAACGCCCCGGAGCACTGAGCGGCCCAGCAGCGCCTCCTGTGTGGAAGGTGGTATGGCTTGGATAATGAGATGTCAAATGTATTTTAGCTAAGATTAATGTTGTTATGTTTGCTTCAAAGTAAAGTTGCAGCTGTGACTTGTAACTCCTACGGAACTCATCTAAGAGAAATGGAGAATTCCCAAAACCTCCCAGACCATGTTGGCCCAAGATAAGATTGCACCATGGTTAGGACTAACGCTTTTTTGCTTCTGTAACTGCTTGTGCAAGCAATTAGATGATTTATCAGTGTGTGGTTTTGCCTTTAAAAGAGCTGGCCCAGCCCTAGCTCTCTGGGAGGCCGAGGCGGGCGGATTGTTTGAGCTCAGGAGTTCGAAACCAGCCTGAGCAAGAGCGACACCTCGTCTCTACTAAAAATAGAAAGAAATTAATTGGCCAACTAAAAATATATAGAAAAAATCAGCCGGGCATGGTGGCGCATGCCCGTAGTCCCAGCTACTCGGGAGGCTGAGGCAGGAGGATTGCTTGAGCCCAGGGGTTTGAGGTTGCTGTGAGCTAGGCTGACGCCACGGCACTCACTCTAGCCCCTGCAAAAGAGTGAGACTCTGTCTCAAAAAAAAAAAAAAAAAAAAGTAAAAGAGCTGGCCCCTCCTGGCTCAGAGCTGCTTTCTGCGCTGCTACCTCTAAGCGGTGCAGGGGTAGTCGCTGGCCAGCTAATAAAGACTCATAATTTGGCTCAGTTTCGGTCTTAAGTGGTCTCTTCTTGCTCTCCGGACCATAACAGTTGGGAGTCGAGCTCTCCTGGGTGCTCATCTTCCATTGTACTGAATTCACAGGTCTGGCTGCTTGAAGAGGAGGGAGATGAGCCTGTGTGTTGAGGATTCAATAAGGTAATGGACACTGAAAGCCTGATGCCCGTAAAAACCAAAACCATACTGAGGATTGGCTGACCACTTCTCACTAAGTTGTCAAGGACTGATAAAGACCTCTCTATCCACATGCTAGGGATTTAAGAGAGAGTGCTCAGGACAGGCATGTTTCCACGGGCCCAGATCCACAGCAACAGCCGAGTGCTTTGCCTGCATTATGTCATTGAATCCTCACAATGGCCGTATGAGGCGAGTGCTGTTTTCCTTCCCGGTTTTCTAGGAAATGGCGGCACAGAGGGCTAAAGTGATGCGCTCCAGGTCACATGCCTTCAAGATTTGATGCCAGGAGCCAGACCCAGGTTGTATGGCTGTGCTCCACTGGGAACGGGTGTGCTGGGAGGAGTTTAACAGGCAGCGTGACCTCCCATTACTGGACAGAGGCTTCCCTGGCACTCTTCGAGTCAAAGCTGGGCTGTGCCCCTCTTTTCAGAACAGTTGAGGGTGGCCTAGCAGAGGAGTGCCAGGCGCCTGTTGGGCACAGTGTGCTTGCCAGTCCTGCTTGGGTTGGGTTTGTTGCCGCCACTTGGGCTCGGCAGGGTGGGCCAGGGATCCTCCCTGAGAGCCATCCTCCCCGCTTCTCCTCGGGTCCCTTCTGCTGTGGGCCTTCGCCACACCAAGCTCCTGTTCTCAGAGGTGATGGCCACGCGCTCACCTGGCGGGTGGAGTTGGTGAAGTGGTGAGAGGAGTGACACCTAGTCCCAGTGGAGACCACGAGCATCGGGGAAGACATCAGCACCCGGGCGATGGGCCACGAGGGCCAGAATGCCATCACCTGTGAGTACAGGTGCCCAGATGGTGGCCATGTCACTGGGCTCCTTCTAACCCAGCCCCTGAGTCACCAAGACTATGGCAATAGTCAAGATCAGGGGTCAGCAAACCTTTCCTATAAGGGACCCGACAGCGAATGTTTTAGGCTTTGCACATTCTCTGTTGCAGCTACTGTGCTCTGCAGGGGCAGCTCTAGAGCAGCCAGAGACCCACAGGTAAGTGCATGAGTGTGACCGTGTCCCAGTACAATTTCATTGACAAACATAGATGCTGGGCGAGGTTTGGCTCACAGGCCATAGTGTGCTGAGTCCTGGTCAAGATGATAATGATTGGCTGGGCGCGGTGGCTCACGCCTGTAATCCCAGCTCTCTGGGAGGCCGAGGCAGGCGGATTGTTTGAGCTCAGGAGTTCGAGACCAGTCTGAGCAAGAGCGAGACCCCGTCTCTACTAAAATAGAAAGAAATTAATCAGACAACTAAAAATATATAGAAAAAATTAGCCGAGCGTGGTGGTGCATGCCTGTAGTCCCAGCTACTCAGGAGGCTGAATGAGGCAGGAGGATCGCTTGAGCGCAGGAGTGTGGAGTTGCTGTGAGGTGGGCTGACACCATGGCACTCACTCTAGCCAGGGCAACAGAGTGAGACTCTGTCTCAAAAAAAAAAAAAGATGATAATGGTTTAGCCAAAGATAGCTTACGGCGTAAATTAAGAAATACAAGAAAAAAAAGATGGTAGTGATGATAATAAAGATTATGAATCACTACACTGATGTTCTACTATAGCTACCATTTATCACCAACAATGGTAGCTACCATTATCAGCCACTTACTATTAATAATAATTATTACTAATTAGTGGTTATAGTAGCAGCTAATATTTCTTAAGCATTTACTACCTGCCAATCTCAATGCTAAACACATATGTTTCTCACCTCACTCAGTCCTCACAGCAGCCTGTGAGGTTCGTCCTCCAATTCACATTTTAGGGAGGCAGAGTTGGGGCTCAGAGATGCCAAGTTACTTGTCCAAGCTCACACAGCTAACAAGTGGCCAAAGTGGGTTCTGGAGTTAAGTTTCTCTGACTCCTAAGTCCTCGCTTGTCCCATTGCACAATACGGTCTCCAGAGACCCCACAAGCCAGGGACGTCTCTGGAGGCAGGTCTGGCATGGTGGGGGCAGATGGAGCATATGTAGTCAGGCATAGGTGTGTTCCTTGGGTTTCTGGTTCCAATGGGTCATTCGATACGTGGAGGTGCCATTTGTGTGCTTGGGCACACAAAGGGGATGGGGCAGACAATCCTGAGAGGGAAGAGGAGCCAGATTTCAGGGTGAATTCGGGATGGCTGGAGGTTATCCAGGTAGGGATGTCCAGAAGTGGGGTAGATGGAGCCCAAGGGAGGGTGGGCAGGAGGTGAGGAAATGGGGACACAGGTGCCGCCCAGGTGTTTCCTTTGTCCTGAGATGAGCAGCTACTCCTGACATCCTGACCTCGTTCTCCTTAGAGTGGACCCTCTTCTCTCTCCTGCTCATCCTGGCTGGGGTGCTGGAGCTGCCTGTGGAGGGCAGGTCCCCTTCCACATCTGCAGACAGCTGTCCTAGCCCCAGGGCGTCCTCCCTGCCTGAGCCCCCAGTTCCTCTTCCCAGCCTGGCTGCCCTTCAGAGGGTGTTCTGGTTGCTTTTGCATTGGTCTTTCTTCAGGTAGGGCTTTTAGGACTTGTGAGGGGCAAGTAAGACTTGCACCTCTTTTTAAAAATGTCCTAACTGAGGTCTTTGCATTGTTTGACCAGCTGATTCACCTCGCTAAGACTGTCCGTGCTCCCTGGTGCCCAGCAAATTAAATATGGACTTCTCAGCCTGGCCTGCCTGGCCCTGAGAGCAGCCTCCAGCTCCCTTCCTGAGTTTGTCCCCCAGCCGTGCTGCCTGCTGCTCCCAGAAATGGCTGGCTGCTCTCCCTGCCAGACCTCTGCGCACGCTTTCCACACCTGGAGCTCTCTCTCTTGCAATCCCGTCTATCCTCACGCTCCCATTGCTCAGACACTGCAACGTCTGTTCCTGACGTTCCTCGATCTGGTGGGAGCTTTCTGTCCTCTGTGGCGCATTGGCTGTGGCTCCTGTACCAGGTGCCGAGGAAATGACAACTCCATATGGCTTTCTCAAAGGTTCAGAGTCTAGACAGGGACAAACAGATTGGGACGTGAGTCAGAGGAAGTCAGGAAATATTAAGGGCTCATAGATGAGGGTGGCTTTGCTGTGCTCTGGGGTGGCAGATGGCATCAGGAAGCCGGGGCTTTTCCCACCCTTTGCTGCACAGTTACAAGTAGGTCAGTTTGGACCCCTGAGTTCACTGTGAGCTTGTATAGAACCTTCCACGATGTAGACCTGCAGTATATATTTCTTGAATTGAACTGAGTCAAGCAACAGCTACCAGGGTAGCTCAGGACAAAACTGGGGTTCTCCACTCTGCAGTCTCTGTGCGTTCAGAGTGGACGTGGGTGGAGGGCTTTGTAACCAATTTCGGAAATCCCTGTCTCAAGGCTGCTGTCTCTTGAATAAAATCTTATCCCCACCTTTGTCTTGAAAACGGCAAACTTGATTAAAAAATGATTAAGCCAGGAGGAGTCTTCAAAAAAGAAGGCAGAGTGAGGGGAGCTTCAGGGAGGGAGGGATAGGACAGAACAGAGAGGGAGACAACGGCGTCCGCCAGCTGCCGCACCAGTGCCGTCCTCAGGTCTCGGAGGCTCTGCTCATTTCTCCTCATTCTTTTCCTTTCTGTCTCTCAGACTGGATGCTGCCAGGCAGATCCTGTGCTGTTGGGAAACCCTGTCAATTTCACTGCGATTCCCAAAAGGAGGACGGCTTTCCCACAGAATGTCAACATCCTGGGCTCCTTTGACCGCAGATGTACACGGGCAAGAGGGTGGCAAAGCTGTGTGTCCTCAGTAAGAGCACGCAGATCCAAGGTCAGGGCAGCAGAACCAGGGGCAGAAGAGGCCTCAGGCCCCAAGAGGGACCAATGTCTCCGCCATTTGAGATCCCTCTCTTCTCTGTGGACTACATCTACACACTAACAAACTTTGTAAATACAAACATTTATTGATTACCTACCATTTGGTAGTCACAAGAAATCCTGCCGCAGAGGAAACGTGGGCCAAAGAGACCACTGGACCAGGAGCCTGGGTCTGTCACTGAGTTGAAAATCAGGGATGCTGAAAGTATCATGAGAAGTCTTCTATGGTGGCAGCAACTGTGTCTCAGAGGCCCACTCTAGTCAATGGTTGAGGGTGCGCAGGGCATAGTGTTGAGAATAAGCAGGACATCCTGACGGCAAGTCAACTATTAGTTCCATCTGGAGCCCAACGTCTTGTTTTCTCAGCAGAGGACAGGACACGCCCAAGGTTACCCAGTTCAATCCATCCAAAGTTAATCTAACTCGGCGCCTGATGATGAAAATTCATATTGGGGGCCTTTGATAAATGACCACCCCAACCTCTCCCTAGCTCTTTGGCAGTATCAGAAGTGACTCTGACCTTGGACTCCAATAGCTATGCTACACTGGCAGCCTGGCTATGTCCGAAGATGAGCCAGTCATCAAAGATGTCGTCATTGCAGAAATAGTGGAGTCTAAGGAAACAATCGCCTCTGAGGTGTTCATGTGTTTCCAGTAGCCCGAATTCTCTATAAAGGTGAGCGGCCTGCAGGCCAGAAGGGCTCATCCTGCCTGGACCTTGGCCTCACAGTGGAGTAGGCCCCTAAGACCCCTGGGGGTACCTGGTTGGCTTTTTCTTCAGGCCAATTGCATTCCTAAGAAAAACGGCATCTTGCTTTTCCAAACACGTTTCTGGAGAAGTAATACTTCAAGCATTTTTCTTTTTTTAGTTTTTGGCCAACCGAGCTTTAAAATTTTCAATTTTTTGAATGAGTAATACTTGCACCCAGTACGAAATTCTAAAGATGCAAAAGGTACAGTGGAGGGGGCGGGGTCTGGGGAAGAACGTGCAACCAGGGCCCGGGGTGGGGGGCGGGGCGGGGTGGCTTCACGTGCTCTGGCTCTGGAGAAAGGAGGGTGGGGTGCTCCGAAGGAAGAGGAACAGAGCTTGGCTTCAGTTCTGTTTCTTTCTCTGGGCTCTGGGAAGCAACGTGGCTGGGAAGACATAGTGGCATTTTGTGTCTTGCTTGTGAGCTGGGACCCATGTCCAAGGGTGTGAAAGGGAGCCCCAGTAGTGGCAGGGCAGGGGCCCGTGCTTGTACTTGCAGAGCACGTGCGGGTATTTAGCCCTGGAGCTGGGAAGGGGATGCATGGAGAGCCTCCCTCGCAAGCATCCTCTGTTCCAGGGACCCCTCTGGGGAGGCTTCCTTGCACCCGTCCTTCCTGCTGGAGGGCCTTTTGGAAACAGGCTGCAAATGAGGCTGGGCAGTGCCGGAAGGTCTCTAGTTGGTCAAGGGGACCCTGATTAGGGCTGAAGGAGGCCAGGATGTGAGCCAGGCTGGGGCCTCTGGCTGGCATAGGATAATGTATCTTGAATTCCTTAAAACAATGACTGACAAAGCTCAGGCAGTCAGGTTGTATATACATCCATATGATTGTTGGCAACATCAGAAGCTAGGAGAACGACATAGAACAGTGTCTCCCCTGGAGCCTTCAGAGACAGCATGGGCCTGCTGACACCTCCACATTAAATGAATATATCCAGCTTGATAATAACTCATCACTGTGGTTCTATTTCTCTGCTTTAGCTTATCATGAAAACATGTACGTGGCTCATGTGCACCTTCTCTCCCTCGGTCTCGTCCCCATTGTACAGATGCGGAACACAGGCAGAGTTGGCCAGCGACGTATCTGTACTTACATCTTCAGTAATTTCCTGGCCGTGCCTCTGACCAACATCAAGTTCTCCCTGGCATGCCTGGGCATCTCCCCACTGCAGACCTTTGGCCAACGGTAAGTCCACTTGTGCTGTTCTTACACACGAAAATGAAATGAACTTTCTGGACATATGTCTTGCATATGTGTGTAAATGTTTCTGAGATGTGAATTCTCAGCGTGAGACTCTCAAGTCAGAATGTAGATACACTCTGCTAGTGCCAGATTACTTCCAGAAATATTGCATTGATTTATGCTCCACTAGCAGATCTTTTTGATTCTTGCCAGTCTAATGGTGAAGTAATCTCATTGCTTTACTTTGCATCTCTGATTATTTGTGAGACTGAATACTTTTTATTTTTATTGACTATCTCCTGTGAATTGCCCATTCATATCCTTTGTCCATTTTTCTACTGAGTCATTTTATTTTTTGTATTAATGTGTGTAGTCTTTACAAACAGTTGCAAATTGTTTATCACAGTTTGTATTTTTTAAAATACTAAAATGCCTTTTGCCACTGGAACTTCTAATGTAGCCAAATTTGTCAATCTTTTCCCTTATGGATACTGAGTTTCATGTCATTCCAAGAATACAGAAATATTCTCTTATGCTTTTTCTAGAATGTTTGGCTTTATTTACACAATTAGGTATTTATTTGGAATTTAATTTTTTGGGTTTGGAGTGATGTAGAGCTCCAACTTAATCAAATCTATTATTTTCCTAGTACTTCATAACACCACCTTTATTATATTTTTAATTAAAATAATTTTTTCTTTTTTTAAGAGACACGGTCTTGCTCTGTTGCCCAGGCTGGAGTGCAGTGTCACAATCATGGGTCACTGCAGCCTTGAACTCCTGGCCTCAAGCGATCCTCCTGCCTTAGCCTCCCAAGTAGCTGGGACTACAGGCATGAGCCACCATACCTGTCTGCTTTATTATGCTGTTAATTCTCATATATATCTGGATCTCTGGACTCTTTAATTTACTATTTCATTTGTCTTTTTCTATTGCAATGGCATGCCATTTAAATTACTGTAGTCCTACAATATAATATGATTATATCTACATATTACTATGTTTTAGGCAAATGTCTCCTCCTCATTTTTCTTGTCCACAGAACTTTTAGAATTATCTTGTCATAGCATTTAAAACTATTGGGTTTTAGATTGGTACTGCATTGAACTTACTGATTTATTTAGGGGAGAATTGTGCCGAATGACAGCATTGAGTCTCACCATCTAGGAATGTAAGATATTCTCCATTTACTCAAGTCTTCTTTTTCACCTTCGGAAAAGCTTTATTGTTTCCTTCATATATAACTTGCACATTCCTAATTGGGAATTCCAAGGTGTGTCATAGCATCCTCGGCTGATGGCGTGTCTGTATGTCTTTGAATTTTCCAGAATGGTGCAGCCTGGCGAGACCATCCAATCCTAAATAAAATGCACCCCGATGAAAGCTGGAGCCAAGACATTTATCATCAAGTTTAGTTTCAATCAAGTGAAAGAGATTTGTGCTCACAGGATTATTCTTATCACCAGCTAGCGTCTGCCGGATGCTGTGACCCGGAAGCGGGAGTCCCGACGGGCTCTGAGCTTTGGTTGAGCATTTCAGCATTTCCTACTCTGTGCGTAGCTTTCATGTAGTGGAAAATTCCACTGCCAGGGCTCTACCCCATTGTCTTCCCTAAACAGCTATAAACCGCTTGCAACAACTCCTGCTAAGGTGAGATAAGACAGGAGGACATTCCATAGGAACTCTGTACCTGGAACTAAGGTTGCTCCAGACCCTGCCCCCACTAAAGAATGACCTCATTGTAACTATGCCCCACTTCTTCACTCATTAACTGTGCCCCAAGCAAAATGTATAAAAGACTGCTACGTTCTTTATTCAGGGCTCAGAATTTGGGAGGAAAAATCCCCCTCTGAGCCCGCCGGCGTATATAAACCTGTTTTGCCATATTTCTGTGTGCGTCTCGGTCTATTCTTGGTCAATTCTGCTGTAACATTCAGATCATGGGTGATTAGATTTCATTGCTCACCTGAGAGCAGATTCAAGCGCCAGCAGGTGAAAGGTAAGGAGTTCAAAGGCCAATGCAAACCACAGGCAGCCAGACCCACAAGGCCAGGTCCTGTGCTCTCACAGGGTCACCACTTTTACAGCCTGAAATACCCAGCCTAGGCCACGGAGCCCCCACCCCCCAACCCCTTCCTGACTCATGGCCTCAAAAAGCAGGGCCACTGTTGTCTAGATTCAGATCCATAGACAGCCAAAGCCGCAGATTCTCTCCCTGGAGCCACAGGCTACAGGAAACCCAGAACTGCCACCTGCTGGGGCCCTGTAAGAAGCTGCCATCTCTTCAGGTCAGGGAGGGTTCACCAGCCCTGAAGGCACCTGCCAATTGGAGTGTTCTCTCATCATGGCTTGGGCTTGGGCCTGCTGGAAGTGCATCCTGCTCCTCTGTCCCTCCTGAAAGCCACAGTCCCTCCCCTGCTGCTCCACGCCCACCTTCTTTGGCCACCTGACAGGGGACCTAGTCTGAGGAACAACAAGTGGACTGGTGGCTTTCCCTCTGACATCTGCACATACTGAGCCCACCACGGCTGGTCCTGCCCATGGAGTGAGAAGCAGGACTGAGAGCCATCTGACATTGGGTTGTCTTCCGCCTCCTACAACTTCATGTAGCTTGAAACTGTGGCACCTTAAGCCCACTCCACGGCCCCTGTGCTTCTCCAGGTCTAGGTGAGCCTTCGAGGCGCCTTCAGTTCGGGAGGAATTTGGTCTCCCAGGTTTGAGGTCCCTGGCCCCTCTCTGGTGGTGGGTGACCCAGCGGCCCCTCTGACCTGAGCAATGGTGTTGGTGAGTTAAGATCATGATCCTTCAGGGGGACCAATGCAGGAAGGGAAGGAGGGAGAGATGGAGAGTGGCCACAGCCCTTCTGGTGAGGGTACCCTGCCCACTGCAGGGATGCTGAGCAGGTACCCTGCCCCAGGCCGGCCCCTTCCATACTGCCCTTGAACCTTCTCCACTTTGGTACCAGCAGACATTTCACTCTCACCTTCCAACACCGGAAACATCCCGCCTCCTCCAAGCAGCATTCGGAACATGCCCTCCCCAACCTCCACTGGCTGTGTGCTTCCCTTTGCGGGGGTGGCGGGGAGGGGACGGGGACGACTCCACTTGAGAACCCTCTTGGATATGGCTCTTGGGCCAGTCTGTGAATTTGCTGAGCCTGTTGTTTCAATTCTTCCCTCCCCTCAGTTTCAGCCTGCTCAAGCCAAGGAGTAAAATCTCCCCCAGCACCCCTGCCCCAGGCCCACCATCACCCTGGAATGAAGCTGCCTTTGGCTCTGTGGGCCTCATCTCAGGGTGTGGGGAGGTCAGGCCGGCCAGAGAGGATCCTGACTTTGGCTCATCGAGGAGAAGGGTTTAAACAAAGGTTCCCCTTCCTGACCTTTGGGGTAGAGAACATAACCCCAAGGGCACTTCACTGGAAGCCCCTGGCCATGGCTACTGCCTCATCTCACTAGTGCCGGTGACCCTATGAGGCCCCAGGGGGAGCCTGGAGACAGAGCTGGCAGGCCCCACGGGAAGCCACCAGGCCAGGTGACAGGCTCCCCCTCCCTGAGCTCTGCTCTCTCAGCTGGGGCAGGTGTCCTTTCTCAGCAGCCTCAGGCGCCAGCAGGCAGGCCTGGCAGGGGACAGGCCCTGCTTCTCCACGCAGGCTCTGCTGCCTGCCTGCCCCTCCCTCGAGTCTGTGCCAGGGCTATGTCATCCTGGGGAAGAGCCGCCTCCTGTGCCAACAGAGAGCCCTTCTCTGCTAACTGAAGCCCATTCCTTCTTGTTCTGCCTTCCAGAGATTTGCTCACATGATCAATATGCTTTTAATTAAACTCTGACTACTTCGAAATGACTATGTGGTTCCTTGAGTCCTTTTTTCTTTATGCCAACAAGCTTCTTAAAGTACCCCATGCTGGGGGGTGGGGAGCATGTGGTCACATTCTTGACCTTCCCAGGTCAGGGGGCGTCTCTCTGAGGGGTTGGCATCTTTGTTCTGCCTGTTCAGAACGTCAGCCCCTCTCAAAGGCTGTAACCTCAGCTGGACACACCCCAGCAGAGGCACACGTGTAGCCTGAATGAGGGTCATTTTGTGTGTGATTCACAAGCTATTTAGGGGCAGAACACCTGTCCTCCTCCCCCTTTCAGGGCCTCCAAGTCAAAAAACCTCAATCCTAGTCACCCTTGCCCCAAATGCCCACCTCCCTGGCATGCAGTAGGTGTCCAGTAAATGCTTACTGAATGAAAGGTGATTCAATTTCCCTCTGCTGGAAATACCACGAGGGCGGTGACGCACAGAGATGGGTTCAGTCGGTCGCCCGCAGTGCAGTGCCAATCCCGAGAGGCGGCCAGGCCTGCACAACACTCACTTGTCTCCCACACCAGGAAGGGAGGACAGTGGCTCTCCTAGAGGTGCCCTCAAGGTGCCTCCAGAGGAAGGACACTCCCCAAGGCTCTGTACTCGGATCTGCTGAAAACAGGAGACTCTAGCCACTGCGGTTGTGAGCTTTTTATTCAAACAGAGGCAAAGGTTTGCACCCAGCCTCCCTCCCTATCAGTCCTCATCTTGTTTTGACATCAGCTGCAACGCTTTCAGTTTGAGGCTAAGCAGAAGAATGTTATGCTGCCAACAGCTGCCGCGGAGAGAAGGCCACTGTGTCATTGGTGTGGGGGCACAGGGCTCAGGATACTGGACAAGTTATCGCCCACTTGACCCTGGCTGTGGCCCAGTTCAGCACCTCCCAGAACAGGGCGGATGGATGTGGCTGAGGTCTAGCATGGAGGTGGGGTCGGTGGGGAAGCAGGGGCAGGGTCTGCCTATGTGCACGCAAAATGCCTCCCCACCCCAACCTTCCTTTCCGGAGCAACCAATCTGAAAACAGAATTGGGGGTTGGTTAAGTACCTCTGCTTTCAGGCCAAGCTGGCCTCTAGGAAGGGCAGTTTTAACCCCAATGTGCAAGGACATTTCTCAGGGGCCATATGGATTTGCAGACACCTCTGACCTCTGGCCTGGACTCGGCACAGAGGTTGATGTCAGCAAACAGTGACCGGCAAACCCTCTCCCCTATTCCAACTGCTGCCTCCTAGGGGACTGCAGGAGCTGGCACTGCTCGCCTCCTTGCAGTCTCTTTGGTATACAATCCACCGCGCTGGCAGCCCAGGGCTGCTTCCGGGTCAGCAAAACAAATACAGGTCCACACGGTGAGAGGACAGCTCTCCCCCAAAGTGAGTCAACTGCCTCTAGAGCTGACTCGGGCTCCTTCCATTGTCATCACTAAATATTAACGCTGATGTGGACCATAAACGGGGCCCGCAGGTGGGAGTGGAGGCCCTGGCCTTTCTGGTGCTCTGTTGATGCTGGAGTCCTGCCGTCACCCTTCTCGTGGGACACAACTGGAGAGCTCTGAGCATGGCTAGGACAGAGGAGGCTGTGTGAGCACTGGCCCCTCTGAGCAATGCTCCCAGACAGAGGGTCTCTCTGACAGAATCATCGCCCTTCACGGCACGCCCTAGGATGCTATCCCAGAGCTAGGCCACTGCCTGGCTCTCCTTCCTTTCTCAGTGTGCTAAGGCTGTACCTCCAAACACTGACCTTCTTCCCCGTTGAACTGGGGCCACGGCCCCTTTGGGCCAAGACTCATGCCGTTTCGCCTGGAGCTGGAAGAGGGGCCCTCACAGAGACTGGCGTGGGCAGGCTCTGCTCAGTGCCTGTGCCTTCTGTCGACGTCGGCGACATGGAGAATGGGCCAAAGAGAAGAACAGAGACCCATGCTGGGGAGGGGGGGGGAATCCATTTCTTGTACCAAACTGGGATATGAACCCTTCTGTTGCACTTTGTGCAGAAACGACCACCGGGATGGGGTTCAGGAGCACCAGGACCCCTGTCCAGATCTTTGGTAACGTCACAGACTCCCCAGGCTCAACTGGGGTGACTAGGGTCCAGGATATCCCGGCAGAATGTGTGTGTGTCTGTCTGCCTCTGTCTGTCTTCCTGGTTCATCGGTCTGCAGGCCCCGGCCACCACTCATCCTTTCAGAGACAAGATGGGCATCATCTTGAGAAAACTGGCCTGAAACATACAGGCAGGGTTTCTGGTCAGTTCTGCCCATGTGTGCTGTCAGATACCCTCTGAGAGGAAAGTTAAATTAAGTTCTCACGGGGGAGGTTAGCAGTAGCTCTAAATAGATCCTTCTTGTATCCCCACCTGCGAGTGGAAAGATTTTCAGCCCCAGGTGGGATAGCTCCAAGCTGTCTGACTCAGTGAGGATTCCAGTGTCTTTGGAAGAGGAGCTCATTTCTGGTGCCACCATCCTAACTCAGGCTCGTGTCCACGCGGGGCATGTCCCACCTGTGTGTGTACAGCCTTCTCTCAAACCTAGCCTGACCCCTTGAAAGCAGATGTGGCAGCCGCATCTTCCTCCTAATTTCAGTAGGCAGTGGGGGATGCCCTTCCCAGGGCCCCAGTCTTCCCAAGAGAAGACAGGCGTCTCAAGGAAAGCCCGAGGAAAGCCCTTTTTCGCCCCGGGCCGCCCTGGTCAGGCTGCCTTTACTGGGCAGAGCTGTGCAAGCTGCCCTGCCTTGCAGAGTGGCTCCTGGCAACCCTTCTCGGGACAGACTCTTCTTAGTGAACTCAGAGAAAGTCCCCCATCCTCCTCTGCTGTCCCCAGGCCACCCCCCACTCCAGACGTGGCCCAACGTGGAGAGAGGGAGGAGGGGCTCCCAGGGGTGCCGAGGCGAGGGAGGGCCTGGGGGAGGCATTGGGGCGCTGAGTGTCACGCCCACGAGCCCCTTTAGCCAAAGCCCCGCAGGAAGGTCGGCAGGCACGTTTCCGTGTTTGGTTCTCTCCCCACGGCAGCCTCTATTCATCGATCACCTCCACAGAGTCCTCGTCCTTCGTCTCCTCTGACTGCTCCTCCGGCGTCTCAGTGTAGTCGGTGTCTGACAGCGATGCCACCTGCCGCACCAAGTCCTTGTCACTGGGGATCTCTGGCTGACACGGTCTGGAGAAGGGGTTGAACCAGTTCAGGGAGAAGTTCCCACCAAAGGTCTCTTTCACCGACTGCCAGCTGCCCGTGTGCTGCCGGGGCTGATTCTTTCGTTTGAGGCGCTCAATGCCCTGCGGGGAGAACGGGATTGAGGCGTCAGCACGCTGTGGGCTGTGCGCCTCCTGCACACACCCCGGCCCGAGAGCGCACAGCCTGCTGTGGCCCAGGTAGGCCCAGGCCAGGGCTGCGGGAGTGGGTGGGAGCCGCGAGGAGGAGCGCAGCAGCAGGGCCTGCCTCCCACCACCCGCCCTCCCCTTCCTTCCACAGGCACAAGGCCCCTGCAGGCACAAGCTGGGCCACCCATCCGCCGAGACCACTAAAAGCGGTGACCCCTCCTGAAGTCTTCTGGGCCACTCCCCCCAGGGTAGGAGCCGCACACTTAGCATGAAGAAGGCTGGAGGGGTTAAGGGGATAGCATGGGATACAAACAACATGCGAGGTGAAGCAGCAGACGCAGGTACGGCCAGTGCCAACATGCAGCAGGCAGCTGGAGGGCGCACAGGGTCATCGTGGGGACGTGAGGGCCGGGGTCAGGCCTGCTCATGCAGTGGACACACCCTGAGGCCTCTCCCAAGCTGCCCACTCACCTGCCTCTGGATGTCGGCTGTGACTCAGAGAGAGGGTGTTGGAGGCGGGGAGAAGCCCACAGGAGTTAATGCACAGCCAGGCCATCTCTCCAGGCCCGCAACACCCTCCTCAGAGGCTTTCGACCCCAGCGGGGCCGCTGCTTTCTCCATCTCTTCTGGAAGCCAAGGGAATTTGCTGTGGGTTTGCTGGACATGGGCACTGCTCTTCCACATCACTCAATAGCACCTCAGAAAGATCTCTGTGTACCTAATTCTAGGTTTCCTTTTCCACACAAGATCCTTTGTACAAGGATCCTTTGTACAACTGGTACAATCCTTTGTTACGCAGAAAGAGAAACCGAGGCACACACGGTCTGAGATCTGACCACACCCTAGGCCAGTTCTTCTCCAGCACTCTTTCTCCCCACACCGTCTCAGAGATTTAAGTTTCTTGACTTTCGAAAAAACTCTAAATTAAAGAATCTGATCTCAAAGTATCTCCTCATAAGATACTCATGATCACACAGGGAAAGACAGTACGTTTATAGTAGGGAAGCTCGGCAGCTATCACCTTCACCCAGCGATCAAAGCTAACATCACGAATAACGACACCCATCAACGTCACGTGCCTCCCGATGCGGTGCAGCGAGGACACACGTCACCGCAGCGGTACTCCTGCCCCAGACACAAAACCTCAGTCTGATCATGAGAAAACATCTGACAAACACAAACTGAAGGAGAGAATACGGGCCTGTAATCTCAAAGGGTCTAAGTCTGATGAAAATGTTTTGGAACCAGATGGACATGTTGGTTGCACAACATTGTGAGCGTACTAAATGTATACTTTACAATGGTTCATTTTCTGTTATATGATTTCAACTCAATTTAAAAGGAAGGTCAGGGTCATGAAAGACAAAGGAAGACTGAGGAACTGTCACAAACTGGAAGACACTAAGAAGACATGACCACTGATGCAATGTGGCATCCTGGGACAGAAAAGGACATTCGTGGGACAACTGCAGAGACTTTAATAAGGTATATAGATTAGTTAGTAATGTTGTGTCAGTAAATTTCCACGTTTTTCTAATATTTGCATTATGGTTGCATAAAATGTTTACCTTTGGTGAGACGGATTGAGGGGCATATGGGTACTCTTTGTACTGTTTTTGCCACTTTTTTGTAAGTCTGAAATTATTTCACAATAGAAAGTTAAAAAATAAAAAATAATCTGCGACACAAAGATTTATACAGTACAAACTCGAACGCTGAATTACAGTAATGAAAAGTTGGAAACAACCGAAATGTCCAGTAACAATGGCTAAATAATTCAACAAAGCGGAATGTTATGCAGCTATAACAAATGGCGTCAACACAGTTTTACGTGACATCGGGACACCTGTCTGTGTGGTTACCTTTGGGGATGGAATTTTAGATAATTTGTTTCTTTCTGTAAACTTCTTACATGGTCCAAGTTTTCACCAATGAGCAGGTGTTACATTTGTAATCAGAACAGAAAAAGCTCTTTCAGAAAATGGGCCTTGTTGACAGTCTTGAGGGACCCTCCTGTGGGTCATGAGCGTGAGACGCCATGTTGCGCCCTGGCTGCCTCTCGCCAGGCCTCCCTTCTTAGCAGAAGCAGCAGTGACCCACCGAGGTGACTTGCTGTGGGGAGCCTGTGTTCCCTTCCTGGGTGATCATCTGCGGGCCGTCGAGAAGGATCCTTTAGCTTGACTGCATGAGAGCTGGGACACCGCGTGGCACACCAGGCTACAGAGGAGACACCCAGAAGTGATCGGCTGTATCCACACTGACTTGGACTTACTCAAAGTCTTTAGGGCTCCTTGTGAGGAGGTGGGCACTAGTACTGACACTTGGCAGATGGGGAAATAAGGTTCCAAGAGGCCATGACAGTGGCCAAAGCTCATCTGGCTGGTTATGCAGAACTGGGACTAGAAGTAGCGTTTTCTCTCTGCCCAATGTGTTTCCAATTCTACTGCAAACTCCCACTCGGCCTGTGCTGAGCTCAAGGTCGGAGAAAAGCCGTGGAGGGGAATGAAAGCAAGAGCCCGCAGGATTACTGTTTCCCATTCATGTGGCATGCTCCCAGATGATCATGCTTGGATTACACTCAAAAGTAGCAAGTATACACAGTACTTTTATGATACGTTGAGCTCTTCAACGAGGTCATAAAAGTATTCCAGACAGAAACCGGCCTGCCCACCAAATTTCCTCAGTAGTTAAGTGGACAAACATTCAAGGAGTGTCGACTTTGAGTTTCGAAAGGAGAAAATATTCCAAATGAATCTGATGTATAAAAAGGGCCCAAGGGCTGCTTTTTCCTGGCAGAACTCAATTTTGAGCTCTATGTGGATTTAAAAGTGTCTCGAAGGCAAAGTTTTTAAGCTCGAGGTTTGCAGAGGAGCAGTAATACCCACTTTAGGCTCAAGGGAACAAAAGTGGCTGATTCCTGGTGAGCAGGCAATGTTTACACCAGCACCTCTTGCAGGGTGTGTGTGACTTGGGGCCTTTTGGCCCAAGTCCGTCTGGGTAACACATGAACTATGATCTGTGAACAAACCCACCAACACCCCAGAATGAATGTATGAGGACTAAGGCTCCTGAGGGAGGCAGATGCCCGGGTACGGGCTCTGCACAGAGGCAGCTGGGACCCACAGAGCAAGAGGAGGCTGCCTCTCTGCTCCCTCCGTCCTCAGACGTAGTCAGAGCCCACACAAATGTGCCTCTTCGTAGCTGGCCAGATAACAGTCTTCCTTCTTCAGTGGTTTCACACTTTTACACTGTTAACCCACAATAGGAAATATTTTTCTGTTGCAATCCAGAACATATGTATACACACATGCCCCCAAAGTTTCATGAAATAATACTTATCCTATGATGTGTAACGCAGGTGAAAGATTTCTTTTAAAACATGTTGGTTGCAAGCCATGAACAGCTGTGGCCCAAGGTTTGAAAAAGCACAGCTCTAACACAACTAAAGCCATACCACGGCAGACACTATACATTATGTTCGTTACCGTCATTTAATCCTCATGTCAACCTCGTGATTTGGATAATCATCCCCATTTTACAGATGAGACAACTGAGGCTTAAGGAAGTTACTGTCCAAAGTCATACCTTGGTAGCAGGTGTGGTACTAAGCACCCAAGCAGGGATTTGAACCAAAGACTATTATCACCTCAGTTGCAGAAATTCAGGGCGTCCTTTAGGTCCATGCTAAAGCACATGCCTTCCGCCAGAAGGTTTCTGGCAAACACTCCTCTGCAGTGCTTGCCACTATTCCCTGGGTCAGCTTCAGCAGCTCTGCCGGTGTGCACACCCGTGAGGCTGGCGCCGGCTCCCTCAGGGCCACTCTCTGCTTTGTGACGGCAAGCATGCTGCTCAAGTCAGCAAGGGTTTTTTTCTTGAGGGAGAAAGTGGGGAAAAGAAGGCTTCAATTTGAGAGTAGATTGGTCAGTGGCTTGTTTCTGTTTCACTAATAATTCTTTATCTCCTGGGAGGTGATTCTCAGGTCAGGGATGTATTTAAAGAAGCAGCCACATGGGTGTTGAGGCCCAGACGGAAAGCAAAGGCCAGGACATTGCAGGTGCCTGGGCTCGTCTAACGCTGCTGGCTCTAGATTACTTTCCCCAGCCACCACTTCCATCTGGTGGTCTCCTGGTGCTACTTTCTCTCCCCCTTCTGGGCTGGTTCTTCATCCAAAGGGGTCTGTGGTCCAGAGATAGGCTGCACTGATGAGATGCACAGGGAGTGCTGGGCAGACCAATCATTTGGCTCCACTTCAACAGACCTTCAGTGTTTTCTCGGCATTCATTTGGTGGGGAGGCTGCAGGTCATGAGGGAAGAAGGGCTCAGTGGCTTCACAGTGCTGGGAGCAGCTGCCCGTTGCACAGTCGGCACACCAGACCGTGTCCCATGCCAAGTCCAGCAGCACACAGGACCCACACCTTCAGCAGGCATCAGGGATCATCTGAAGGGGGATTCTCAAACTGGAGTGTGCAGCAGAATGACCTGGAAGGCTGTTAAAACCCAGACTACTGGGCCTGACTCTCAGTGTCTGGTTCAGCAGGCCTGGAGTGGCCTGAGAATGTGCATCTCTAACAAGTTTCCAGGTGCTGCTGCTGGTCCAGGAACCACGAGATCCTTGAGAGGGAGTCTAGCAAAATCTTTCTCTCTCCACGTTTCTTTGATATTTAAGGGCCCCTTCTAGGGTGGGACCCCTGTCCTCTACTGACTGGCTCACGCTTTCAGCTGATGCACTGCAAGTTTTGAAATAAGAGAAAGTTAAAACCCATTATTCTGGCTGGAGAGCCCAGCCCAGCCTCCCAGAGATGAGTTTCTGTGTGATGCCAACCTCACGTAGGTGTTTAATATTTGTTAATTTACCTCATCAGAAAGGTTTCTGTGTCAGGATGGTGGATTTTAACTAAGCAGCCTAACCAGATGAACAAAAGCTGATAGTACTTTGGGCTCTTTTAAGAAGGAAG